TATTTGTTCTAGAGTATTGACAATTATGGCATGTACTAATGTTTTTTTTTTTTTGCTACTGTACTGTGTTTATAATAATAATATATAAAAGGCCAGAGGATTTTCTTGTATATTGATTGCTTTCTCTGGATGTGTCCGGCAGCTCAAACTGTGAGGTTAAAAGAGCAGCGGTCAAGGATCAGCTTTTACGTAACACAGACTGACCTCTCTCATTAAGAGCTAAAATAAAAATCAAGTCCAGCCTGAGACCTCAAAGAGGAAACCCGTAACTGTTCCCTGACCTGAAAATAAATGTTCTGATTTACAGCGGCAGGGTTTCTACTGGCTCTGGTTACTGGCATGTACTTACAGAGCTGGTCTGGGGTTAAACTCCTAATGAGCCCGACTGCAGATCGTATCCCGCTGCGTCACACATCGCACTAAAAACTTGTTTTATGCCATGACAGTAGCTTGAAATAATACGCAAGGAGTCTGAACGCTGCTGAAAGGAGTTTAACATGCTTTTGGGGATCCAGGACGCTATACAGACATGATTTACGATCCGTTGGCTGACGGACCACCAGGCTTTGGTGATTTCCGCTCAAATTCGACAGCCGACTCCTGAGAACCGAGGTCTGCTACTTCAGGCCAGTTTGCACCGACAGCGTTTCCTAGTCACATAAATCATGATCTATACTAACGTCAGTGTGTTTGGGTTTTTTTTTAGGCCACAGTGTTTTATGACGTCTTCACTGTATCGTCTCCTGCTCCAAAACAAACGGCAGAAACATGAACTGAAATCAAATCTGCGATGAAAATCCTCTTACATGTAATGCTTCTTCCTAACAGACTTCGTAGTTCAGAGAAATGTAATGTTAATCTTCTTTTATAAAGTGGATATATCTGACTCTGAAATCTGAAGGTTAAATAGCTGATAGCAAGTCTACATAAAGTAAAATATCACCTTTAGACTAATGGACCATATTACTTGGTATTAATCTTTAATTTGTAAAATGTGTGATTAGTATTAATAATAAATGCTATTACTTATTAAAATTGTTGCTTTTAAATCATATTCATGTCATATTCCAATGCATGACTTTGAGGCGTATTGCTTTGTTGACATGTTTTGCATTAAAATCTATACAATGTAAAAAATTATATCTAAACATGATGCCTTGATGCCATAAATATATTTGCACACTGAATTGTGATTTTAAATATTTTTATCGCTTTTCTTGCTAATATCTAATTCTCCATCTACTGTATACTGAAAAATATTATCAGTCTTTATCTGTATCTATATCTGGGTTTACAACTTCAAACTATCAAAATCTTCCTTGTTGACTGAAAAAATTTAATTAAATAAAAAATTTGATTGAAAACATTTTTTCGGTGGAAACCAAAAATTAAAGCCATTTAATATCTTAACAAAAGCACCTTTAACATATTGAAAATTATATTTGTAAATATTTTTTATCGCAATTAAGATTTTCTTTCTAATATCTAATTATCCATCTACTGTATATTAAAAATATTATCCGTCTCTCTCTGCATCTATATCTGGGTTTAAAACTTCAAACTTTCAAAATCTTCGTCGTCAACTGAAATAGAATAAAATAAAATATAAAAATTTGATGGAAAAAAAACGAATCTAAAATCTAAAAAAATACTGAATTACTGAAATAAATTAAGATTAAGTTGAAGTACTAAAAACCGCTAAATAAAAGCTAAATAAAAAAGAAAACAAAATCACAAAAGCACATAACAAAATTTCTAAAACTTTAAAATGAAAACTGAAAGTATAAAAATAATTAAATAGTTCATTTTAAATATAAAAATTACATTTCAGATATATTTCATTATATTTATTTATTTATTTATTTGCTAAATCAATTGTATATATTTTAATTTTATTTATCTGCTGCCAAAAATATTGACTATTACAGCATATAATAACGTTTTATTTATTTATTTTTTAAATGTTCTTACAGTACTGTACTCATAATAAAAAAAACAGGCCAGAGTTTTTTTATTCTTGTATATTGATTGTTTGTATTTTTCCACAAGAGCAGATGAGGATTCTAGAAGCTTCCAAAGGGCAGATGCCAGCCGCTGTTGCCGTTGGTTACCATAGGGCACCACTTTACAGACCATAAACCTCCAGTGCATGAATGCACTCGACAAAACACAGCAAACTTTGAACAAGAAATGTCTGGAATTCATGAGGAAGATAAACTTTGTGTCATAAAAGTAAATGTCTTGATTTAGTAGCCGTCTTTATAGCAAAGAAACCTCTAGAATGAGCGGGAGGGAATAAATCTGCTGAGAGACCAATTCAAACAGCAGTGAACGCGGCCGACAGAGAAACAGTCAACATCAAACGCTGCTGACGGAGAGAAACCTGCAAATGAAGCAGATTCTCACTCGCAGTGTGAGTTATAACAAACTGCGCATCAGAAAGAGTTGGGAGACGTTTGTCAGGATCAGGGAAGCGGACGGAGCGGCAGACAGAAGAGGTGCGAGGCCTTCAGGCTCAGAGAAAGGCAGAAACTAGTAGCTACTTTAAAGGGGTCCTATTATGCTTTTTCACTTTTTCAACTTTAGTTAGTCTGTAATGTTGCTGTTTGAGCCTAAAAAAGATCTGCAAAGTTACAAAGCTCAAAGTCCACTTCAAAAGGAGATATTTTATTTAACAGAAATCACTTTTCAAAAACTACAACGAACGACTCGTTTGGACTACAACGCACATTTTCCGGGATTTGTGATATCACAAAGATCGACGAATGGGACGAGACCTGGTTGAGCTGCACTAAAGAAGGCAACGAGTGTTATCACTATGTCAGAGACACGCTAGCTTTCCCAAGGCAGACGAACTTAAGAGTGGTTACAATCATCCGGGTTTAAATCGCGCTCAAATTGATTTGATTTTGACGCAATATTTACACTGAAGCTCGCAGGAGGCTATGGTAAGGGGCATGACATTTCCCGACCAGGCGCCAAATCACAACACACACTGGCCCAGCTAACCAATCACAGCACACACTGGCCCAGCTAACCAATCACAGCACATTTCGTATTTCACCCCCAAAACAAAATCAAGACTTTGTAAAAGAGCATAAAAACCCCAATAACGTGATATTTAGCCCCTGGAATGCTAATTTTACCAAGGGAACCTCGCCAAAAAATTTGTATTTTATCCCCCAGAATGCAATTTTTATCGGGGGACCCCCCTCGAAATGCGATTGGGCTAGTTTTGAGTAGCAATTGGGTATGGTAAGCTATGGTAAGGGGCATGCCATTTCCCGACCAGGCACCGAGTGCTGCCAATCACAGCACACACT